TCAACCCTCTCTGTCTGTCTCTGTCTACTTTATACTGTCTCTCACTCACTTTGTCTACTCTGTTCTAATTTCCCTGCTATATCTGCTTTATTCTATCTCTCGTTCTCTCTCTCTCTGTATGCGCTACTCTCTGTCTCTCTCTCTCTATACTCTGCCCTGGTCACTCTTGCTCTCTATACTCAGAAGCTACTCTCTCGTCGATCCATCAATCTCGTTGTCCTGGGAAAACACAGTAACTGCTAAACTCGTGCACATACTTCTCTCTCTTTCTCTTTCTCTCTAGGATATTCCATCCTTGGCATTAATAAACTGTGTTTCAATTCAATTTTCTCCCTCTCTCTCTGTCTCTCTCTCTCTCTCTCTTTCACTTTCTCAATACTACGCACCTTCTCGAAAACTCTTTCTCAACTTTCTCTAGATCTCTTTTCTATCAAGTGTCTTAAAACAATCCGCACAAATTACTGGAACTCTCACTGCTCGCGCTTAGGCATCCAGCTCAAGACTGACTCCCAAAGCGAGCTGTCGCTTTGGCCATGGCCGCCGCCGCTACTGTTAAAGTTAGTCTCGACCCAGCAAGTACCATGGGTATGTAGGTAGTCCCCTTAACGTTTTTTAGTCCTCTCCTGCTGGTGCTGCTGTGTCTCTGCAGCCTAGCTGGTTGCCCTTTAGCGTCTCTCTCTCCTTCTTTCAGCGTATGTACAGCTTCTGAAAGTAAAAAATTTGGAAAAGCTTTAAATTTATGCTCCTCGTATATTCTTTGCGCCAGCGAGATCGTTTTGGGCGTGGAGACAAATTTTGCATCGTTAAATTTCTTATCTCTAAACTCTCATTCGGTCTCCTTATCACCTTACCATCTATCGTTCTGCCTGCCCTTTTTTTGCATGAATACTCAAATGCCTGTCTCATGTTGTTTGTTAACTCTGAACTATTATTTAACGTAAAGTTGACTGAATGCTTTATCTTTCACCCTTCTTTTACATTTCTTATATGTAAACTCTGTCATGACCTTAACGTCAATGCCTCTTTGCCTTCTTGCCCATAAAATCATACCCTTATATTTTCTTCTATCGTCAAATGTCAGCATTTTCTATGAATATCCTTTTACTATTTACTTTAGGCTTATTTAGATTTTTTCTTAGCGCTTTCTAGTCCCGTAAAAATAACTATACCAATTTTACTGGCAATTTAGTACATTTAATTTCAAATTTACTTAGTCACACCAAAACTTATCAAGGTATAATCTTACGTCGTCATTTCGTTATACTGCTATTTACAATGACTTTTGATCTATCTAACTCATCCCTGTCATTTCCAAGTTTCTCTATTTTTACCATTTTGTTTCAACTTTCAACTGATCCAACTCAAACATGAATTTGAATTCCACATCAATCCTCTGTTTCTGCTTTTACTACTCGAGACTCTCGACACTTTTGACGACTCTGCTCGCTGCTCTGCCCCTCCCGTGCAAGCGTCTTCTATTTCCTAGTTTTCAAGCTTTCTTTGCATATTTTTAAGCTTTTTTTATTTTTATTTCTTTCTCTTTCAAATTAATAGTAGCTCTTTCTATGTTGATTTGCTCTCGCTTAATTTTACAACATTCCTCTTTGTAGCTTTTTCTTATTTTTTCGCATTCTTTTCTCTCCTTGAACTTTTTTTTAATCCTATTTAATATAATTCTTAATGTCACAACCTTAGTCGCTTTCTTCAACTTTCCTTGCTTGTCTACAATGAATTGTTTCTCCATCTCCTTGAGTTCAATCTCTTCTTTCTTCTCTTAACTGTTTTTGATAATCCTTTTCTTTCTTTCTATATTTTGATACTTATTTCCACACTTTTTCCAAACTCCTATTTGGATGGATATTTACCGTGTGTTATGCACAATTCTAACCTCTATTGATTCTGTCACTTTTACCACCACTTTTTTTCACTTATTCTTATATTTACATTATTTGTTACATAACATTCTCAATAAACTTTACAAATCAGAATAATTTTTTTTTTTTTTTGTAAAGAAACACACGTCTCAGTATGGAGCATCTTTGTTAAGTATATCTGTGACGTTTCGCTAGTTATTTTTCATCTCTTTAAATATCTAACAAAAGTATAAAATACAAAAAATAATAAATAATTTGTTCAACATTGATAAGGAAACAACGCATTACAAAGTTAACTCACTATACTAAAGATGCATCGCTTGCTCAAAGCGTAATAATGTAACGTTGATTAGCAGTGCACTGTATCTACTTTCAAAATAATTAACTCATTAAGTATTTATGAAAGTTGACACGCTCAAACATCATCAAATAATTATAGCACACGCCCACCGAACCATTCAAGTGTGGCCACAAATAACCGAACAAAGCAGCAGCATATTGCGCAATCCAGTTACCTTGTGCAAAAACGGTGCACGATACTCGATCATACTTTGTACCCTGGAAACGGTGCGTTCAAGTTAGCAGTAAGGAATAGCAATAAAATCGAGGAATGGAACTAGAATCGTCTAATGCCCCCTGACGTTTTTTTTACTGGATATGCCGATTTTTACCGTTTAAATTGGTATTGGCTTTATTTACCGAGATTATTATGAGCGCAATAATGTCGGAACAAACTGATTGAGCAAACTATAATAATTTGCAAACACAATGATTTTAACCTATGTAAAGAAAAATGGGAAGAGAAAAGCAACACCAAAAACTTATTTCCGTCTTTCTGACGTGATAAGAGCTGGATGCGAGAGAATCTGCCTGCATGCATGCTTTACAACTGGCTGTTAAACACTCAGCCCAATCCTATTTGACTATAACAAAATAAAATAAAATAAAAATTTTTCTAAGAGCAATAGAAGCAGAAGTACAAGCAAAAAACTAAATAAAAAATTGGCATTTTTGAATAAATTGTTAAATAAACAAATGAAGCCGACAGTTGATTTGGACAAAACTATTTTTCCCGTATTCCTGGGAAAATTCTGAAGAGGAATGACCAAGTTTTTCTCTACTGAAAAACATAAGATTAAATCCTATTTTTTTGGTCTCCGGGCAATGGACTACAACTACATCTGTGAAGTACCACCATTCATTGATGGCCTTTCCAGACATCTAATAAAAATGTAAAATATAAAAATAACATTAATAATTTGCTCAGCAGAAATAAAGAAATAACTCAAAAGAAGGTTATCTCACAATACTATAGATGCATCGCCTGCATCAAGGCATAACAAAAACACAACTAAAAATTTTTAAATTGAAAATTTATTAAGAGATAGAAATGTCCATTAATAAGGTAAAACTATACAAGTAAACTATGTATCATTATTCTAAGATTTAAGTACAAAAACTGTGCAGGTCCAAAAATGGCAGGTATGTGGGCCAAACGTCCCGGCTATTGGAAAGAGGAATTCAGAAACATAAACAAATATAATTAACAAAAAATTAAATTTATTTTAGCTAGATGTTCGATGCATTGTTCTCATTCCTTTAATTTCAATAGGATCGCAGTTATGGATAGAGAAAGTAATGACTTTTTCAGGGAATCCCTTCAGCTCTTGAATATTTTACGGTTTGATAATATAATATAAAAAAAAAACCAGTTTGTGCGACTTAAATTCTGCGTACATTAGTTTTATTTATGATATGTGCCGTTACTTATGAATTATGAATTTTTTGTTTCCATACCTTCGTTTTGTTTACATATTCTCTTATATCTAGTTTCACACATGATCTATACTTGCCATACATTGCCCAATTTATTGTTATACCTCTATATTCCAATAACTACATGTCTCTGTGTACTCTATGGTTTTGACAGAACTAATATTTTGGGACCTGCACGGTTTTGATGGATGCAACGCACCTTTTTTCTTCTTGTGTTGTTATGTATATGCAAAGAAGTCGGATTTTTGGGACAATAATTATAACATTCACAAATAGTTATTTCGCACTTAAATCTTAGAATAATGATACACGGTTCATTTGTATGGCTTTACCTTTTTAATTCATATTTTTGTATTTCCTTATTTCTATATAAATTAAAATAATACACAAATTTTTTCGCAATAAAAAACTTAATTGTGAAGCCGTTATTGCAGAAAACGTCAATTTCTTACATCTCAGCTTGAGAGTAAGCTAGAGCATTCTTTTTTTTTTATTTGTATTTTTTTTACGAC